GGCTGGGGCTGGGGCTGCTCTCCGTCGGCGGCCCCTGCGGCAGCCTGTGGGCGCACCTCGTCTTCTCTCTGAGCTGCGCGCTGGCCGCTGCGCCCCCGACCGCTCTGCCGACCACCTCGCCGCCCCCCGCGGCAAGAGAGATGCGCCTCGTCGCGCCGCTCCGCCCCGGCGGAAAAAGGGCGCGCCCCGCCGGGCCCATCGCCCTCAAAACCACCGCGTCTGCACACCGAGCCTGGGGCGCGCGCGCGTCGGACGCGCAGCTGCAACTCTGGCGAGGTAGCCTAAAGCTGAGCGCACCTGGAGGCACGCACGCCTCGCCCACGGCACGAAGCCTGGGCAGCGTCCAACTTTGCACGAGACGGGCGAGGAGATGCTGGGGCACCACTGCTCCTGGAGCACGCGGTGACATACATCGACGCTTGCTGTATGTAGCGCGCATTGTGTCTCCGCGCTGGGACGATACACTTGTTGGCGCACACAGCAGCGCGGGCCTCGGTTCGCGGTGGCGAGCTGATTCGCTGGAACTCCCGCGTTCAACGTGGCGGATCATGGCACTGATGTGCAATATTTGCGCCCCTGCTGTAAATGACCATCGCGCGCCTCCCATCATCCCGGTCGCCGGCCCATCGAGCGCGCGCTCGTGCGGGGGCTCTTCAGGGGCGCCATCGCGAGGTCCGCGCGGCTCGCGCGAGCATCTGATCTCGGGGGTGTTCCATCATTTTCCGGGGTCGAATCTGCAGCGCGCGCGCGCCCGACCGCGGCGGCAATGACGCGACGACAACCGGCGTGACACGAAACGCGCGCTGCGTCTCCACCAGGGTGATGCTGCGCTCAGGCGTCTCTCTCGAGCTGGGGCGCTTAGGGTTCGGCCGCGCTCGCGACCGCGACGGCCTGGAAATGCGACGCTCTCTCCCGGGCCGTCGAGCGAGCCAAAAAGGGGTGTCATCACTGGAAGGGCATCCACGGCACATCGGACCATGCGTTGCCGCTGACGCAATCTTGGCACCAAAAGATCCCTTCGCGCGTCGGTCATCCACGTCTGCGCCCTCACCTGGACCTCGGACGTCGACCTAGAGCTGGGCTGGGCACCTGGAAGGGCCTCTAGATCAAATTCTGGCCGGCGATCTCAAGACCACTCCGGCGGAGCTCATGATCACAGAGTCTGGGCTTGCGACTGCAGACCTAGGCGGCAATGACTTTCCAAGCCCGAATAGGCCGCGCTCGCGATCGACGCGCTGGAAACCACGCCGGGCCGAGCGCGCTGCATCCCACAGACAGCCCACCCCGCGCGCGCGCAGCCCGCGCCCCCCTATTGACCCCAGCCCCGCGCCCTCAAGTCAGCGGATTAATTTCTCCCGCGCGCGCCCCCTCCACCGAGACAAATCCATGCATCTACGCAGCGCTGGAGATCGGCGACTCGGCGGCGGCGCGCGCCCCAGGGCCCGCCATCACTGGCAGGCGGTCCCTATTGATTATGCACGCGCCTTTCCCCCCCCCTCCAACTGCCAGCGGGGGGCCGCGTTCGAAGCCTGCGTTCTCTGCGTGGTTCCCAGCGGGCTTGTCTGAGACAGCGGTGGGGTCCGAGGATGTCATAGGCAAAACGACTGACTGAATTTTGCGTCCTGTAACGCGTCGGTTATTGCGCAGCTAGCGACGCTTGCTGCTCTTGCCGGCTGCGCGCCGCTCAAGGTTCGCCCGGATCGAAACTGCGGGGGGCCCTCGAGCAGCCCGACCCGCCAGCGTTCCACTGGCCGCGACAAGGCGCGGGACAAAAAACATACGGGCCACCCCATCACCCATCCTAAACCCACGAGTCGGTCGATCGCGCCCTGTCCGCCCCCCAGTCCTGACCCCCAGCGCTGCCTCGACGTGGCGCGGACATGGGGAAGGTCTCAGCCGGGGGGTGACAATGCGATTGCCCCTGACCCTCTTGGGGGGGGGGGGCCTGGATCAGAACGGCCAGAAACATAAGGGACGAGGGGTCTTTCCTGCAGATGCATCAAAACAAAGCGCCCGGCAATACCCCGACTGCGAAGACGGGGACCTAGGCGAGGCCGCGTCTTCACCGCGTCGTCAAGGGCAATGGGGTTTTCTCGATGTGGGGGCGCCCCGCTACATCCAGGATCGCGCGAGCGAGCTCGTCGCGAGGCGTGGATGCTCATCCTCGGCAGAAGGCAAGAAACCCTGGGCTCCTCGGAGCCCCAACTGAAAGCGTTGGCAACGGTCTGCGCGCCCGGCCGACTTCGACGCGCAGCGTGCCCGCGAGCTCGCCGCAAGAGAAGAACCCGGCAAACCCGGAGACATGGCAGCGATGCCAGGCTCTTCCGAAAAGGGCAGCAGCAGCAGCGGATCAGGCACATTGCGCCTTTGCCCTCCTTGAAGCTCCCTTTTGAGAGCTTGGGGGGGGGGGGGGAGCCGCGCGCGCCTTGTCTCGGAACGGGCGGAGGAGGCGCTGCCAGCGTACCGTGCAACACGTGCAATCAACGCGTGCGGGGTGCTGCGCGCACAGAACACCTGCCTCGCCCGCGCGGTGAACCCGCGGCCACTATCCCGTCGTTTCTCGGGCCGCATGCTGGAGCAGCCAGTGCCGCAACTCCGGAGGTACCGATGTCTCGGGCATGGCCATCCCCCGCACAGCCTTCAGCTGCGCCAAAGTGCGAAACCAAACATCATGTCTTAACGATGCTGGAGCGGAGTCGCAAAATTCGATGCGGTCGTTAACTTCTCTGTCGAGGTTAATTCGGGCTGCGTCCGATGGCGCATGTAGAACAACTGTGGTGACTCCTCCGTCTCGCGCCGACGTTCCAATGGTCTCCCCCCGCTCGGTCACGCTCGGTGAGTACGCGCCAAGAACATTGAAGGAGCGTTGGCGTGGTCCCTTGCGTCTCTGTCCAGTCGCATAGATGCTTCGCCGAAAGCCCAATGCGTCAACAGATCCTCCGTGTTCTTCCGGTTCCTGCACCAACCTTCCACTGTACTCAAGGTCAAGCTTGTACTTGGGAGCCTTGATTTCCTTCTCGAGCTGACGAAGGTCACAGCTGTCTGCCTCGGTGAAGCACTCACGTCCCGTCCAGTTCTGGTATCGTCTGAACGATGCATCCTCGAAGTAGGCCTGTTTGTGATGGTCGCGCAGTTTCAGGTAGACCTGGCGTTCTGACTCCGTTTACCAACTTTTGCCAACGGTACTGCTGGAAACGGCCTTGCTGTCTGTCGTTCCCATGAGCATTGCCTTTTGACGCTGCAGTCTTTCCAACGCAGACCAGATGCCGGCGTGCTGGATCAACTCGGAAAGAAAAACGGGACTCCAAGTCTACCGCGTCATTCCTGAGGCGCCTCCAGCTGGCAACCCGCTTTCCACACCATCGGTGCATGATGGCGAGACCTGTACTCGGGGATCACCTGAAGATATTGCATGGTTTATATGACTGCTCGATTGTATTGCCGCGTATACTGCTGCTGCTTGCATGAGGACGTGATCTGGCGACCTCTGCGCGCCGACGCCCAACGACGTGGGGCCAACTGGAAGGAAGCCGCCCACGACCACACGTCACCCATGCCGGAACCGTCTAGGTTTGAGCTGACTCCTCGTTTTCCTCCCCATGAGCCGTCGGGCCTGACTCTGCTGTCGACTGTCGAATTGACCATGCCTTGTCCGACTCGTCGCCTTCCCGCTCGCCACTCAGCGTCGAAGCCCATCATCGCGAGAGATCGGTCTGTCGCAGTCTGCATCGACAAAAAGGGAGCCATGATGCAACAATTTACGCGTACAACTCCAGCGGTCAGTTTTCGTGTGAGGCCCGGAAGGGAGTGGCCAAGACAGGGGGAAACAGGAGGAGGGAGGAGAAGGAGGCGGAGGAGGAGGAGGAGGAGGAGGCGAGAGGGGGAGGAGGAGGGAGGAGAGAGGAGAAGGAGGAGGAGGAGGAGGAGGAGACGACGAAGATGAGGAGAAAAAGGAGGAGGAGGAGGAGGAGGAGGAGGAGGAGGAGGAGAGAGGAGGAGGAGGAGGCGGGGGAGGAGGGGAACCACGAGGAGGAAGAGGAGGAGGAGGAGGAAGAGAGGAGGAGAAGGAGGAGGAGGAGGAGGAGGAGGAGAAGGAGGAGGAGCAGGCAGAGAGGAGGAGAAGGAGGAGGAGGAGGAAGAGGACAGCAACGATGGCGACCACTTTGACCACGACGGCCACAGTGATGACGACGTCGGCCAACACGATGACGATCGGCCATCGACGACGACGACGACGACGACGATCGACGACGACGACGACGACCACGACGACCACTGAGTCGACCACCACGACGACGGTGGCGCAACGGCGGCGAGGACCCCCTGGCCTGTCCCGGGCCGCGCCCTGGCCCGGCCGTGGCCGCCAGGGGGTGCCCCCAGAGGCCCAAGAGGGGTCCCCAGACCACCCTCGATCCCAGACCCTGGATCCTGGAGGGGCCTCCAACCTCGATCCTAGGCCCTCGATCCTAGACCCTCGATCCTCGACCCTCGATCCTCGATCCTAGAGGGGTCCCCAAACCACCCTCGATCCTAGACCCTCGATCCCCAGGCCAAAGGGGTCCCCAAACCACCCTCGATCCTAGACCCTGGCTTCATGGTGCTCCCATCGAACTCGCGGACCGCATCCCAGAGATACGTTCGAGCACCCGGGAAAGTGTGGAGACAGTGTCGAGACAGTGTCGAACGAGTGTCTCCCGGGGCCTGACACGTGAAAACCCTCAAGTTTCGGTGCTTACTTGGTGCTCGAAATTCTTTTTGGTGATTAAGGCTAAGAGTAGGTTGGAACATGATAACCCTAGCTCGACGATCAACGACGGCGATCGACGACGACGACGATGAACGATGGACGATGGAAGATTGACGACGACGACGACGACGACGACGGACGAACCACGGAGGATGGCAGACAATGGACGAGCGACGATCGACGACGATCGAGGATCGACGGCGACCTCGACGGCGACGACGACGGAGTGCGGCGGCAAAACGCGCAGCGCCACCTCGTGCGAGAACCTGCTGCCAGACTGCAGCCTGATCAGGCGAACGATGAGGTTGCAGAAAAAACAATAGTTGGAGGGCAGCAGCAGCATGTCCATCACCTTGTAGGCAGGGGCGTGAAGCCCCTCCCTGAACTCATTCTCGCTCCTCCTTCGGATTCATCGTCCCATCCTCATCGTCCTCCGTATTCTTCAACTCCTCCTCGTCATCGCCATCCCCACCAGCAGCACCATCACAAAAATAATCCACATTGTCCCACTCCTCATCCCTCTTTCGCCGCTTACTCCTCATCACAAGATACTTGGCCGTCGTCGTCCGCTTCCTCCACGACAACATCGTTGTCCGCCTACTCTTTCTCGTCGTCATCTCCCTCCTCGTCCTGCCCCTCACTATTCCATCCACCCAACCTTTTCTCCATCCCTCCTCTCCACTCCTTTGCTCCTCACCTCCTCCGACTCCTCCTTCTCACCCTCTTCTGGTGCCCACCACTCCTTTCCTCCTCAGACTTCTCCCTCCCTCCCTCCGTCCCTCCCTCCTCCGCCCTCCGTCCACATCCCCCATCGATCCCTGCTCCATTCCTGTTCCTTATGGATATCTCCTCCCTGTCGCACCCCGGAGCGCGTCGGTAGGGCGGGCCGGGCGTTTCGCCTGAGATCGATCGTCATGTATGATCCTTGACTTCAGAAAATGCAAGAGTTTCACAGAAAGGGGACAGGCTGGTGTCGTGCCGCGCAATTTCGTTTTAAACAATTGAGAATTTCACGCATGGAGGGCACGTGGTTTTCAAGATGTGCCTCTCGCCTCAGCGCCGAACACATTCGACACGAAAGTTTGCAAGAGGTTCACTGATAGAGGGCGCGTGGTGTTCAGAATGTGTCTCTCGCCTAAGCGCCGCGCACATTCTTTTCAAACGTTCGCAAGAGTTTCACGGATGGAAGGAGGGTGGTATTGAAACAATCGGTCTCGCCTGAGCACTGCACACATTCGTCGCAAAACTGTGCAAGAGCTTCACAGATGGAGGGCAGTTCCTTTTCAAAACGTGGCTCTCGCCTTGGCGCCGCGCGCGTTTGTTTCAAGGTTTTACAGCCGTTTCAAGGATTCGCATGGTTAACGTCCCAGATATGGTGTTTTGGCATGGCGTCGGACTGCCAGGACGCCACAATTCTGTTGATTCGCGGTGCTGGAGTCCCAGGAATGGTACTCTAGCGCGATTCAGGGTCGTCAAGACGCGGCAATAAAGGTGATTCGCGGCGTTGAAGTCCCAGGAATGGTGTTCTGGCGCAATTCCGGATTTTCACACGGTTGCCGTCCAACGGGGCACTCCCCTCAGCGCAAATGAATCTTTATAGGGGCCTATTTAAAAGGAAGGTTGGAGGGAGGGTATACTGCAATATCGTAGATGAGTCTCGGGTTTACACTGGTCCTCCTCATCCTCTCCCTCGCCACCCTTGTTCCTCCGCGCCCTCACAATGCCTCATCATCGCCATCGTCATCGGCATCGCCACCGTCATCATCACAACATCAACATCAGCAGCATCATCAGCATCACCAGGATCTGCATCACCCAGATAGCCACTGCCAGCATCAGAACATCAGAGAGAGCGTGATCCACCGTCGCTTTACTGTGGAAAATTCCTCCCCCTCTTCCTCTGGAACCCGGGGGTCCCCCCCCCCCCCTCCGACAACCCTCCCGCTGATCGAACCCCCCCCCCTCCACTCCCCCGACAAAGCCCCGTTCCCCCCTAACCCATCTCAACCTCCCTTCCGGAAAACTGAAGGGGTCACCACTGGTTCGAACCCCCCCCCTCCAGAAAACCGGGGGGGGTCACTACCAGTTCGAACCCCCCCCCCACTCCCACTCACCGCCGGCAGACGACTCCCGGGTCCCCACCACCGTCCTCACCACCGCCCTCACCCGCTGTCCCCAACACCACCACCGTCCCCACCACCACTGTCCCACTGTCCCCACTGTTCCCCCCACTGTCCCCACCAGTGCCCCCACCACTGTCACACTGTCCCCACTGTCCCCACCACTGTTCCCACCACGGTCCCACTCTCCCCACTGCTCCCACTGCCCCCAACACTGTCCCACTGTCCCCACCAATATCCCACCATTGTCCCACTGTCCCCACTGTCCCCGCCGCTGACCCACTGTGCTGTTCCACTGTCCCCACGGTCCCCACAACTGTCCCCACTGTACCACTGTCCCACCACCGTCATTACCACCGCCCTCACCACTGTCGCAACCACCACCCCACCACTAGAAAGTCCCACTGTCCCACCACTGTCCTCACCACCGCCCACCGCCCTCACAACTGTCCCCACCCCTACCGTCCCCACCACTGTCCCACTGTCCCCACTGTCCCCACCACTGTCCCACTGTCCCCTCACCACTGTCCCCACCACCACCGTCCCCACCACCGTCCCAGTGTCCCCAATGTCCCCTCCACTGTCCCACTGTCCCCACCCCACTGTCCCCACCACCACCGCCCCCACCAGAGTCCCAGTGTCCCCACCACTGTCCAACTGTCCCTAGGAGCGGGAAGCGTTTGCCGGCGGCGAGGGGGAGGGGGTCCGAACCGGCAGTGACCCCCCCACACTTTGCATGATGGACTGGGGGGGGACGGGGTGTTCGAACTGGTAGTGAACCCCCCCAACGGTTCTCCAGAAGGGGGTGGAGGGACGGGTTGGGAACCCCCAGTGACTACCCCCCCCCTGTTTTCCGCCAGCGGCGGTGGAACACGCTCTTCGAACATCAGCAGCATCAGCATTTACATGATCATCATCAGAATCATCATCAGCATCATCATCATCGTCATCATCATCATACTCATCATCACCAGCAGCATCAGCATCAGCATCAGCATCAGCATCAGCATCAGCATCAGCATCAGCATCAGCATCAGCATCAGCATCAGCATCATCATCATCATCATCATCATCATCAGCATCATCATCATCATCATCATCACCATCATCATCATCATCATCATCATCATCAGCAGCAGCATCATCATCAGCAGCATCATCATGGTCATCATCAGCAGCATCATCACCATCATCATGCTACCCTCCAGAAATCTCAATTAATGAGGGCTCTTTAACACGAATCTCGAAGCGAATCCAGCAGTGGCGACGATCAAAGGGTAGCAGTATTGGTACATTCTCGTCCCCTGCTGATCAGCATCGTCTTACCCCTCCCCTCTTCCCCCTCTTCCTCCTCCTGCCTTTTCCTCCTCCCGCTCCTCCTCCTCCTCCTCCTTCTCCTCCTCCTCCCGTTCCTCCTCCTCCTCCTCCTTCTCCTCCTCCTCCTGTGCTCCTCCTCCTCCTCCTCCTCCTATTCTCCCTCCTCCTCCTCCTCCTCCTCCTCCTCCTCCTCCTCCTCCCTCGCCTCACCCTGTTCCTCCTCCTACTTACTGTACGTAGTCCTCTCGCCTGATCGATGGGCTTGTGGGGCACGTCCATGTTGCGCACCAGCGCGAAACGGCGCACCTCAGACCGGCGGCGAGGGCGAGGGCCCCCCCCCCGCGCGGGGGCCTCGTGCGGAGGGGCACTCGCCTCCCGATTCTCCTCCGCTGCTCCACCTCCTCCTCCTCCTCCTGATTCTCCTCCTCCTGATTCTCCTCCTCCTCCTCCTCCTCCTCCTCCTCCTCCTCCTCCACTTCCTCCACCTACCTTACATCGTCCTCCTCCCTCTCCAGATCCTCCTCGTGCCCCTCCCCCTCCCATGTTTCCTCCTCCTCCTCCTCCTCCTCCTCCACTTCCGCCTCCACCTGCACATCCTCGTCCACCTCCACCTCCTCGTACACCTCCTCGTAATTACCCGTCCTCCTACACCTCCAACTCCACCCACATCTCCTCCTCCTCCTTCTTCTCCTCCTCATCCTCCTTCTCCTCCTCCTCCTCCTCCTCCTCCTCCTCAACCTCATCCCCATCCTCATCCTCATCCTCATCCTCATCCTCATCAGCAGCATCAGCATCAGCATCAGCATCAGCATCAGCATCATCATCAGCATCATCATCATCATCATCAGCATCATCATCATAAATATCAGCATCATCGTCATCATCATCAGCATCAGCATCGTCGCCCTCACCTCACCTCACTCCACCCCACACCACCCCTCCTTGCCTGATCCTCCTTCTCGTCCTCGCCTCTTTCTCCCCCCACCCGTCGCCATTTCCCATTCAGTGTTTGCATTGAATGGGTCTCAATGGAGGTTGAAAGATTTGGCGACAATTTCGGGCCGATGTCGGCGGGCGGTCTGGTTCCTGCCTGGCTTCCTGGGTTCCTTGCCCCGGGTCTTCGTTGAAGGGATGGACGCAAATATATGTGGGCCGAATTCGGTGGGCGGCTAGGTCCTGGACTCCCAGGTTCGGGGTTCCTGGCATTTTTTGAAGAACTTGGCGAAAGTTGAAGGCGGAAGAGGATGAGGAGAAAAATGAGGAGGAGGCAGACTAAGAGGAGAAGGCAACGTCGGGAGATGGGAGGAAAAAAACGAAGAACAGGACCGAGGCAATTAGAAGGACGATGAGAAGAAGCGGCTTTGAAATAGAAAAAGCATAAGGTCGGAAAAAAGGGGCTTAAACATGATCAAGGCTCACCGGAGGCGGTCTATAGCCAGGGTGGTAGTCTCCAAAGCCCATCGGCGACAATGGGAAGCGCCGCCGTTTGAGTCCTGCGCGGCCCCTTCTCCACTCCTTCCTGCCTTCGGGCAACCTCGGACCTGAGGCTGCAAACCCAACACGCGACACGCAAGCCACAATATCATTTCGAGACCGATCCGCCACCGTGCCCCTGGGCACGGACTGGGAGTGCCCTCAGGCTCATTGCCCAGTCCCCTGAGCCCCAGCCCCCACTCCTGAGGAATCTTCAAGGGGAGAAGGAGGAGGAGGAGGAGGAGGAGGAGGACGAGGAGGAGGAGGAGGGGGAGGAGGAGGAGGAGGAGAGGAGGAGGAGGAGGAGGAGGAGAGGAGGGAGGGAGGAGGAGGAGGAGGAGGAGGAGGAGGAGGAGAGGAGGAGGAGGAGGAGGAGGAGGAGGAGGAGGAGAAGGAGGAGGAGGAGGAGGAGGAGGAGACCGGAACCCAAACTGCCAGATCTGCCAGGGAGCTCCCCGCGTGCCTCCTGGAGCTCCCCCGGCGTCGTCCCGCATGCTTGCGGAGGACGGAGGACGGAGGAGGTGGTGGACGTCAAGGAAGAAATGGGCGTGGAAATGGATGTCCTCCTTGCGGCCTCCGGGCGTGACCCGCGGTTTTCCGGCGGGACATTGCAGCGGGGAATCCCCATTCCACGCTGCTGCCTCTGATTTCGGGGCTCCAAAAGGGCCTCAGGACGGGCCCCTCGAGAGGCCCCACAGAGGCAGCCAAGGGGCTTCAAAACTGCCTCCAAGAGGCCCCCGATGGGGCTTCCGACGAGATCACAGCGAACATCCCGCACGCTTCATACCCACGACGCAGGCACGGTGGCGAAATGGGCCGAAGGCGATAAGATCCGCCGCCCCCTGTCGATTCATCGCAGGGGTGCCTGGCGTGCTAGACCCTTCCCGCCGGCCACCCGGAATTATCTTCCAGATTGCCCAGAGGTGGTTGCCAAGGGTAAATCCTGCTCCAGACGGCTCCAAAAGAGCCCAAGATGGCCTCCAAGACGACTCAAAGACGGCCAACATGGCCTCTAAGACGGCTCACATGGCCACACGATGCCTCTAACATGGCCCAAGATGCCTCCCAGGCGGCCTAAGATTGCCTCAAGATGGTTCAAGACGGCCCAAAAGGCCTCCAAGAGCCCTCCAAGACGCCTCCAAGAGGTCCTCAAGGAGAACACGAAGAGGCCAAGATCATGGGTTTTCCTGAGGTGTTTGAAGGAGTTTGGCACTTACTTGTTTTCGGCCTTCCGAAGACCTCAAGACGGCCCACGAGGCCCCCAAGATCGCTCCAAAATCGCTCACGAGGCCTCCAAGATGGCCCCATGACGGCCCAAGAAGCCCCCAAGAAGGCCCCCAGAGGGCCCCAAGACGGCCCAAGAGGCCTCCAAGACGCCCAAGATGGCCTCCAAGACGGACCCGAAGCGCCCCAAGAGGGGCTAAAGTCGGTTCAGAGAGGTCCCCCAGACGGCTCCCGACGGCGTCAGACGGGCCAGGAACGCCATAAGGCGGCCAAAGAAGCCCCCGAGAAGTCCCAAAAATGCCAAAGAGACCCTCAACAGGCCCCAAGAGAGCCCAAGACAGCCACAACATGGCCTCCAAGACGGTCCCAAGATGGTCCAATCGAGCCCAAGAGTGCCTCAAGAGGCTCAGAAGAAACATCCTCCCCCTTCTCCTTTTTCCTCCTTCTCCTCCTCCACCCCTCCCTCCCCCCGCGTTCCCCGAAACCTTTCCAAACCGACTCGGGGAACACATGGTCCGATAGCTTGGCCATGCTCTAGCCCAGCTGTCGAACACATAGGCGCTTCCACAAAGGCAGGGGGCGGCGGTGATTCGCCGTAGGCGCCTTCGATACACTGCTGGGGTCGGGCGCGTAGATTGGAGCGTCTTCGAATTGATCGTGGAACATTTCGCGAACCTGCACGATGCTGTTCCGCAGTGGCTGGAGGAACAAGCTGCACTGACATGGCAGGCTGAACTGGACAGGCAGCCAAGGCGAGTAAGCATGGTACCAGCGAGAATTCACCTTCTCAATTACACATATAACCGGAGAAGCAATTAAGAAACCCCCCGGCGTTATCATTAGCACCGCGCCGTAATTAAATAATTATTTGGGGGGGTTTTCGCCGAGCGATATTATTAGCACCGCGCAAATGGAAGGAAAATAAATAATTCCAGCGCCCCGCCTCGGGTGGCATCCCAATTAGAATTGTAATGAGAATAAGAATACGAATACGAATAAGGAAAAGCTGTGGGACCTGTGGGACCTGTGGGACCTCACACGGGAACCACTTTGAAACTTGTGGGACCTGCGAGACCTGCGGGACTCCGTGGGACCCGTGCGATCTGGTGTACCCCCTCCTGGTGCCAGGATAACGCTTCCGGGTGCCGGGTGCGTTATCCTTTCACCGGAGAGGGGGGGGGGGTCCTTAATCGCTTACTCGGGTTAATCTCTGGACCTCCTCCTGTTCCTCCTCCTCATCCTCCTCCTTCTCCTCCTCGTTCTTCGCCTCCCTTCTCTCTCTCTCTCTTTCCACTCCCTGCGTCCGCCTGTCCCTCCCGACAGTGGCTCGCCGCAGAACAGAAACCCTCCCCCCAAACCTCTTTCCCCTCTGGCCCTCCCTGGTCCCTGCAACTCTGGGCGGCGCAACCCCCGAGAAAGACGGATAAGTAAGTACTGTTGGAAATCTCCCGCTGAACGAGAAGCGACAATGCCATTCGGGAACAACTTGTAAATGCGACGCATGCCGAGTGTGGAGGACTGAAAGAGGACATCCGGCGCCTGAAAATCAGGTTCCTCTCGGTGCCTCCCCCTCCCCCCCCCCCCGCGTCCCTCTCCAAGGGGGGCGGGGCGCCTGAAGACCAGGTTCCTCTCGGTGCCTCCCCCCCCGCCCCCGCGTCCCTCTCCGAGGGGGGCGGGCATGGGCCCAGCCGGGCCCCCGGGAGCGACCACGTCCACACCCACGGCCGGCCGAGGCCTCCAGAGATCGACACGGCCCAGGCCTGGGACAGGAGAGCATCCCTCCGGGAACAGGAGCCCCTCCGCCAGCCCAAACGCCCCGAACCATCAGAGCACCGCGGGCAGCCCTCCCACAGGCTGCACGAGAGCAGCCCGCAACCATGCAGAACAGCAGGGGCCATCCTCCCCGAAGCGACCTCCGTGTTCTGCCTATGGGCCGGCCGTGCCCCAGGCGGTGGACACGGGGGAAGCAAAAAAAAGATACCGGTGGTGCTACTCCCCGGTCCCCGTGCCTCTCCAGGGGTGTGTTCCGACCAGAAGTTCGGGCGGAAGCCGGCCGCGGCGACGAGGGCTCTCGAGGGCGAGCAGCGGCATTGGCACCTTTTTTTCTCCCCCGGTACGAGGACGAAAACACACACACACACACACCCATACCCATACGATGGTCGGGGGAAAGAGGACTGGCTATAGGTATGGTACGGGTTACCGGACGCTGTGGGGGAGGCTCCACTTCGAGCGGGGACCCCCATCCGACAACACGCGCCCATAGCCCCCTCCGTCCCACCTATGGGTACGGGTGCGCGTTGTCCGATCGTCATAGCATCCACCGCCTGCCGAGGTCCCCGAGAGATCGGTCCTCCAGGCGCTGGACATGGATGTGGGGGAGCCCCCGCCTCGGGCACTCGGGACGCGGCGCGCCTCCGCCCAGTTTGCGAGCAGGACGATCCACGACGCGGCGTTGCTCACGATGACCTCCCAGCACCTTCTCTCGGCACGGGCGCGCGGTGCTGACGAGGCCCCGCGGCCCCTTCCGTGGCGCTTGCGGACAGGACCTTCGCCTCCTCCATTTGCTCGTCCTCCTCCTCTGGCGCATCCTCCTGCTGCTTCCTCGTCCTCACCCTCCTCTCTTCTCACCCTCCTCCTCCTCCTTCCCCCTCCTCCTTCGTCCAACGCATGTGTCCTCGTTGCAGTCAACCAGTATAATAGGGACGCACGGTAAGCATGCAAGGGCCTTGGAAAGCCATGCCGACACATTGCGAGCGGGGTGCGGCCAGCGCAAGCGGCCAAGGATGGGCCGAAAGGGACACACGCAAGGGCAACATGGGAAAATGGGAGATCCTGTCGATGGAGCTGAATGTATCCCTCTCCTCTTCATCCTCCTCCTCTTCCGCCTCCTCGTCCTCCTCCTCCTCCTGCTCCTCCGCCTCCTCCTCCTCCTCGTCCTCCTCCTCCTCCTTACCACCCCTCTCCCTTAACTAGAAAGCATAACGTCCACCCCGATAACAAGCACTCCGACAAGCGAAGCCGTTTAGTTAACGCACCCAAGGAAGGAATCGAACAGGGTGTGGTTGTTTAGTAAACGCCCAGGGCCGTTTAGGAAACGCCAATCGCCGGGGTCTGGGTGGCTTGCCCTCCCTTGATTCACTCCTCGCTGCTGCAGCACCAGACTCGTCGGAATGGCCGTGCAACTGCGAGCAAAGCAGCAGCACAGAAGGAGCCGATCCTCACACCTGTCCAAAGCTGGACGGATGCATACCTCGTGCTCAAGCGCTCTCCAGCTTCTTTGTGAATGCGCGCTGCAGGTCCTCGCCACCGCTCGGACGTCCATTCCCTGTGCTTTTTGTTTGTCGGTCTCGTGCGTGTTTTTTTTTCGCCGAATGATCAAGGATGCTCCTCGTTGGCCCTCGCCGAAGGAAAAATGCACACGTCCGAGCGATGCCAAGGGTCTCCATCCAGCCTGCGACGAAGCGCGATCCACCGTCGCCGGCCTGCACAGGCTCCGAAGAGGGGGGTCAGAAGCCAAGACCCCGGCCCCCATCCCCCTGCCCCCCCACCCCCCACCCCCCCTCCCAACCTCCTTTAGGAAGCTGCTAAAACCGTGGCTGCTAAAACGGCCCTCCCGGAATGAAAAAACAACTTCCCGGAATGAGGCGTGGCACGCGAAGCAGTCAACGGACTTCTTGCCGGAAGGACGAAGACAACTTCCCGGAGGTCGATTTTAGCAGCCACGGATTTAGCAGCCCTTGCCCGGCTTCCGATCCTTCCCACCCGCAAACTGGATGGGTGTCTGGACACCTGAAGGGGCCCTAGGACACACAAACAAATACACACAAATAAAAAAAGGATGCCCCATATGTTCATATATTTTCTGGGTTTTTGTCTTCCCCACCACTTCCCATATTTTCAAATATTTTCTGGGGAATCGACAATTAATTGTGTCTGTGTGTTTCTTCCCTCCTGAACACCGTCCCCCAAGGAAAAAACATATTTCGGAAGGCCCAGAACTCTCTTCCCCGCCCGCCCTCCCGGGAAATGTGCAACGGGACCCAGCCCACGCCCACGCGCACCCCCACTTCGGCAGAAAACGACGCCGACGCCTACGACGACGCCGACGAGCGTGACAACGTCAGCGGCTGTGGCGGCGCACCTGTCGCCGGCGCCCGTGCCAGGCGCCAGCACCGATAGCAAGCTACAGGGGCTCGGTCCAACTTCCTCCGGATCCTACCGGGGCCCTGCTGTACTCTACCTTGCTCTGCTCTGCTCGAGCTCTGTTCTATCCTACCGTACTCTTTAAATATTTGCTCCTAGTATGCTCTACTCTACTCAACTCTACTTTTCTCGACTCTACTCTGCTCTACTCTCCTCTTACCCTACTACTGTACTAGACTCAGCCCCACTCGATTATGCTCTACTTTGTGTCTGCGCTATAATATTCATTCTCTCCCACTCTACTTTACCCTACCCTACTCTATTCAAAACTGCCATAGCTCACCCTACCCTACTCTACTCAACTGTACTGATCCCTGCTCTACACCACGCCCGCTGGACTCTTCTCTACGCATACGATACTCTGCTCATTGTCGTCGCCTTCGTCGTCGTCGGCGTCGTCGTCGTCTTTCTGGACCCCCCGAGGAATTCTCTCCAGGGGGAGGGGGTCTTCAGGACCATCCCGAATGACCCTCCTGGGGCGGGGCGGGGTCCGGAACCCCCCCCCTCACCCGTGTCTTTTTTCAGGGTGACCCCCCTCCTTGCGACCCACGGCGGAAAGCGTTCTTTCCAGTTTACTGATCTCGTCCTTGTCCAGAGTGTCCTCGCCTTCTTCCTTTTTCTTTGCTTTTCGTTGGCATTATCTTCTTCTTTTCTTGCTTTTTCTTTCTTGCCGATCTCCCTCCTCGTTTGGCATTATTTTCTTTGCTTTTCTAGGCTGGCCCTACGATACTCCGCCTCCGTCACTCGTCCGTTCAGAATCATTACTGTATCTCCTTCCTCGCTGGGATCTGGAACAACTCCGCCACTTGCAATCTTGAATGAAATGTCTTGAACGCCTTCTGGCTACCGTTGCTGACCAGCGCCACTGAATTGAATCACCGCACATACCACACGCAGGAATTGGTCCTGCTCCGTGGAAGCGTTTTGAAGACTGAATGGTTTGGACTCGCTGATGGGTCTTTCAGGCACCTTGTTCCTGTTCGATCCCACTTATCTGCTATTTGTGCGTGTATTACGATCGTGCTCATTTGCCCTTTGACTTTCATTTCCAACTCAACCACAATTGCCGTTTCTGTTCCGTGTCCACTCTTGTGGTTAATAATGTTCAGCAATGTTGCACTGCATTTACCAGACGTTATGATCAATGGCATCGCGTGCTCAGTAGAAAGCTCTTGGTTACCTGTGCGTTCTTGCTCGTCCAAGAAGCTTGTCACTGCGTAGCGATTGGCCTGCCAGGCCTTCTTGACGAACTCGTCGTCGCCATTTTGGTTTGCCGTTGGGAAATTGGCCCCGAAATCGATCAACCCATACTCGATCCATTCCTGTGTCGTGGTGGGTGTTCCGACTTCTGGCCTAACTGCCATGACCTCGCTCCGCTACCATGCAAGTTTAGAACGACCGTAATGAGAATGGAACTCCTTGTCAGGTCACAGAAAAAGGACATGCAGGAGCTTTGTACCGCCGCGAGGCGGTTATACATCTTGAGCCGAACACCAGCGGTTGCACGGTAACTGGGTGCCTACATCCAAACACCTCCTCCTACTCCTCCTCCTCCTCCTGCTGCCGCTCGTCCTCCCCATCCTCCTCCCCCTCATCCTCCTCCTCCTCCTCCTCCTCCTCCTCCTCCTCCTCCTCCTCCTCCTCCTCCTCCTCCCGCGCATGTCAAGGCGCAGCACCAGCCAGTCTCCGGCCGGTGCGGGTCAAGCACCATGGTGTTGATCACGAAGGCCTCCCGCAGGAGCAGCCCCGCCTGCCCGCTGAGGTAGACCCAGTACCACCGTGGCATCAGCCAGGACAGCACCCTGCACAGCAGCCGCTCCTTTCGAGGAAGCAGGAGCTGCAAAACATACCTGAAGGGACCCTGGGACACACAAATAAATACACACAAACAAAGAGATTCCCCATATTCTAGTTTTCGAGGTATAACGAGGTTTTTTTCTTCCCCCCCACTTCCCATATGTTCGAGGTTTTACTCTAAAAGAGATTCCCATATCTTCGAGGTTGTTGTCTTCCCTCCCCCCTTCCCACATTTTCCCACAAGTTCTGGGGAAATCGAGGATGAATTGTGTCTGTGTGTTGCATAAGTCTCCTGGATCGTGCACTCTGTGTGTGTTTTTTATTGAAAAAATAAAAAGATAATAATAATAATAATAATAATAATAATAATAATAATAATAAAAAAAAAAAAAAAAAAAAAAAAAAAAAAACTCGTCGACTCCCGAGAAAGTATGGCAACTTATGGGAAGTGTAGGGGGGGAGAAAGACAAACAAAAAACCCAGATACTACGGGAAAACATATGGGGAATCCTTTTTATTTGTGAGCTTCTTTGTGTGTCCTGGGGCCCCTTCAACATAACTCTCCTGGATCGACACCCGGCGCATGTCCCGGATCGGCACCGGGCCCCCCCTGGGGCGGCGCCTCCGGCGCGGCCACCCTGGCGCGCGCAGCCCCTGGCGCGCGCGCCCAGGGAGAGGGGGGGGGGCGCGGCGCGGGTCCCAGACATCCGCGCGGCGCTCCGAGCTCCTCCCTCGAGCTGCGTGGGTTTCTCGAGCTCCAAGTCGGATCTCCGAGCTCCTCTCTCGTGCCGTTTCGTCTCGGCGCGGCTCTCCAAGAAAGTTGGGCGCCGGAATGATCCGGGGCAGCTCGGGCCCAGGGCAACTCGGGCTCGGATTCCCGAAAAACGAGCCCGAGTCAGCCCTGACCCGAGTCACCCCTGATGATTCGGGGCTCTGGGCGCCCGAATTATCCGGGGTAACTCGGGCCCGGGGCAACTCGGGTTCGGATTCCCGAGAAACGAGCCCGAGTTAGCCCTGACCCGAGTTACCCCTGATGATTCGGGGCTCTGAGAAATCGTGTTCGTGCCGTTTCGTCTCCGCCGAGCTCCTCCCTCTGGCCCTTGCGCGGCGGGGCGGCACATCTGCAGCAGCAGGACAGGCACGCGCGGCACCTGGAGCCCGCTTGTTCTCATGCACGACAGCGCCCCTGACCGGCCACGCACCCCCTCCCCTTCGCTTGGTCGCGTCACGACTCGCGCTGGCGCCGTCTGGGAACGAACCATGCCCAAACACTCCCACTCCCAGACGGCGCCGGCGCGAATCCGCGACGTGACCGGCCCCCTCCACCCCTTTCGGGGGAGGCTAAGAGGGGGGCGTCCAAGAAGGGGGCGGGGGGCGCGTATCATGGCCAGCGGCATGTGCGCGGCCCAGGGGTGGGGGCAGGGGACGCACTGAAATTCGCTGGCCCAACGGGCCAAAGGCGTGCTAAGATCTCCGGTAACTACTTAAACAATATTTCTAGTTCGCGCGCGCGGGGCGGCCCCTGGTGGCCCCCCGACGAAAAATGCCCCGGCCGATCCCTGGCCGGGTCCCGGGCGATCCCCAGGGGGGAAGCTATTTTTCGCCACCCCTCACGAGGATCGTGGCCTCCGAGGGGGTGGCTGCAATCGACTACCCCCCCTACCGCCCCAAGGGGCCCCCGAGAGCCCCCTAAGAGGCCCCAGGGGAGCCCAAGACGCCGCCATGGAGCCCCAAGACGCACCCAAGAAGCCCCGAAGGGGCCCCCAAGACGGCCCCGAGAGGCCCCAAATAGCGCAGGGCCGGCGGAATGAGCGAAGCGATAAAAAAGACGGGGCGCCGTGGAATCTGTAGAGACACCATGGCCTGCGCCATGATATCCACCCCCCCCAAAAAACATCACCGCCCTCCCGGTCGCCCCCGACCTATCTTGGGAGTCCCGAAACGGTGCGGTGACAGACCGTGCGGTGACCTCGAAATCCCCCAAGACCTCACCGCACGGTCCGTCAACGCACGGTTTTGGGACCCCAGGGGCCCCTCTCGCCCGAGACATCCTCAGAGAACGACCCGAGTCCCAAAACCGTGCGGCGACCCCGAATCCCCGCCGACTCACCGCACGGTGCAGTCACCACACCGTTTGGGGGCCTCCGACTATCCCCAAGCCCCCCTCGGCCCCGCCCGTGGCCGGGGGAGACGCAACAAAAAACACGGCGTCCTGAAGGCCCACGAGGCGCAGCAGTCCTCTCGGCGGCGCTCGCAGGGGGCTCGCGGGGGGGAGGGGGCAAGCAGGGCTTCTCGGGAGGCCCGGGTCGGGCGAAAGGGGGGGATAGCACAGGGGGGGGGGGTGAGAATCAGCTCACGTAGCTGATTTTCCCGGCGCCTCCAGGACCGCCGGAGGCGGCTATATGTATCGAGGAATGGGCCCCTCGGTGAGGCCGAAACCAGCTGCATGCAGCAAATTTCGTACCCCCCCCTTGCCCAATCCCCCCCTTCCGCCCAGCCCGAGAGGCTGCTTCTCAGGAGGCGCGGGCCTCGCCTGCAGATGTGGGGCCGGCGCCCTCCAAGGAGCAGCCTCCCTGCAGGAAGGCTTCCCCGCTCCTCCTTCTGTGGCAACCCATGGGAGCCTCCCATGCCATCTTCTTGGCCGGCGCTGATCGACGCTCATCGACGGCGATCGACGATACATCGACGCTGATCGATGCCAATCGACGCTGGCCGCCGCTCATCGACGCTACGTCGGTGCTATATCACATGGATTACCAGAAGCTGTTCGATGCTGATCGACGCTGAGGACGGAATTCAGAGGGTACACCAGGCTCCCAGGACTTGCTGCTGAGCCCCCCCCCAATCCCCCCTTGGGAGGCAACTACTGGGAGGTCTTCGTCGGAAGGATTAGGGAGGATTAAGCCCCATTGGGGGACTGCTACGCCGGAGTGGGAATCGGATTCAGCGGGATTCAGCCGGATGAAGCGGGATGAAGCGGGCTCGAGCCGGATCAAGCGGGATCAGAAGCTCTGGATTATATGAGCCAGACTTGGGACCAGGGCAGCATCGGAATCTGACCTCCCAGAAGGGGCGTCCGAACCCTCCCTGTGCCAGGAGGGGCTTCCTCGCCCTTCTCCTCGTCCTCGTCCTTCTCCTCGTCCTTCTCCTCGTCCTTCTCCTCCTCCTCCTCCTCCCTCCTCCTCCTCCTTCTCCTCCTCCTCCCTCCCTCCTCCTCCTCCTCCTCCTCCTCCTCCTCCTCCTCCTCCTCCTCCTCCTCCTCCGACCCCCCCCTTGTGCCAGGAGGGGCGTCTGAGCCCCCCCCGTGTGCGCGCCGCCGGTCCTCGCTGAAGCGCAGCAGGAAGGCCACCGCGCTGAGGGCGAACTGGATCAGCACGAGGTCGATCATCCCGGGCGCGGCCGCCCGCGGCGGGCGGGCGCCCCGCCCCCGCTCGAGGCCCCGAGGCGCGCGCCGCGGGGAAAGGACCTGCCATCCCTCCCTCCTCTCCTCCCCCTGCCACCTTCTCTCTGTTGTCTCTCTCTCTCTCTCTCGCTCTCTCTCTCCCTCCCTCCCTCTCTCCCTCTCTCTCTCTCTCCATTTCTCCTTCTCGCTCTCTTCCACCCCTTTCTCTCTCTCTCTCTCTTTCTCTCTCTCTCTCTCTATCTCTATCTCTCCACATATGCATGTCTGTATATACACACACACCTACATACATACACATATGCATGTTTTCCACGCTCAATCACCGACTACCCTGAGCCGCGTTACTTCTCTCCCACTGAACTTGCACTCGGACTCGAGCGGCCGTCGAGCGACGGCCGATAGGCCCTGCAGCAAACTCTCGGGGCCGAGGCTCAGGAGTAAGGCCGCGTGGAACAGAGGCAGACGGCAAGCCTCGGGAAGCAAGTTTAAACCGAACGCCTCGGGCGCGCCCCCGACGGCGCAGATGGCGCGTCGGCGGCGCAATATTTCGGGCGGCGCGGAGGCAGCTAGTAGGAGGCCAAACCGCGCAGCAGCGATCCTCCGCCGGGGTCTCTGAGCCAATCCCACCAGCCCTCTGGACTGAGGCCTGTCCGAAACGGCCTCGCGCCGAAGACGCCCGCCGTCATTCGTTTGTTCGACCGGCAGCGCCATCGCAGCGCCTTGGCGATGGGCAGGGGCACGGGACGTCGAATGCGAAGAGGCCTCGTGATCGACCCCGGGGATGCCTTGGGATCGACCCCGAACAAGGCGCTAAGCGGGATCTGGCCCCCTCCCGCAGTCTTCCCGAGGCCTCGGGAAGGCCAGCGGGGTTCCCCCGTCAGCCTACGAGCGTCTCCCGGAGCCCCCCAGGGGAGGAGGAGGAGGAGGAGGAAGAGGGGGAGGAGGGGGAGGAGGAGGAGGAGGAGGAGGAGGAGGAGGAGGGAGGGAGGAGGAGGAGGGAGGAGGGAGGAGGAGGAGGAGGAGGAGGGAGGAGGAGGAGGAGGAGGAGGAGCCCCCCAGGAAGGGCAGTCTAGAAGAGGCCCTGGGGGGCGCGAGAGCCCCCAGGGCCTCGGCTCGGAGCGCCCCGGACCAGCCCTGGGCGGCGCGGGTGCTGCTCTCGCCCTGGAGGAGGAGGAGGAGGAGAGGAGGGGAGGAGGAGGAGGAGGGAGAAGGAGAAGGAGAAGGAGAGGAGGAGGATGAGAAGGAGAGAAGGAGGAGGAGGAGGAGGAGGGGGAGGAGGAGGAGGAGAAGGAGGAGGAGGAGGAGGAGGAGGAGGAGGAGAAAAGTCTAGGGCAGAAGGGATCAAACAGGGCAGGGCTGTTTAGCAAAGGGCTGTTTAGCAAACGCCCAGGGCCGTTTAGCAAACGCCAAGTGTAGGGTGCGGTTGTCTTTTCCTCCCTTGAACCTAAGAAAGGCCTCCTAGATGTGGTCCGAGCAGGTGGGGTCGGAGGATTCCCCCCTGGGGCCTGCGGAGGTCCATCTGAATCAGCATCTGGGGCCAGCGCTGCGGCAGCCTTGCCGAAGCGGCCCAGGCTCCCTCAACCACAGATCTCCTCGACGGCCAGATGGCACCGCGGTGCCGCGCGAGGCAGGGGCACACCGCGCTGCGCGTCGCTGCTGCTGATCCTCCCCCCCCCTCCCTGGGACCTCGGGGCGCCCTCGCGCGCCACCCTGGGCGCGCTGGGCTTCCGAGCGCAGGCCCAGGCAAGACCTCGGCCTCGGAAGGACCCGAGGTTCCCTTGTAAACAACGATGCGCGTGGACACCTTCTGTTCTAACATAAGACTTTGTCACGAATCCCTTGCACAAAATGAGACGAAATGCACACGCGCGCGCCGTCGCGCGCGCATGCCGAAATCCTTCAAAAACCTTCGGTGCCGGAAGGATTTCGCAATCGAGCTTCCAAAAAACATACAAAAACAAAGGGTTTCGCAACCCTGATTTGCGAAAAAAGCTTCCGGCCCATGTCCCCGACGCCGCCCCCAACGCCCCGACAGCCAGAGTCAGAGGGAAATCTGGCCGAAAAGGCTGGCTCGCCAACCCTACGTTTTCACAGCGAAGCGCCACCGGGAACCAATCAGGCCGCATCCAGTCAAAATCCGGGCGCGGCTCGCGGATGAAAACCTTTGCGATTTGGAAGAGCTAGAGTTCACCGGTTGAATCTAGTGTATTCTAGGACTTTGACGTTCTGATCTGCGAGAGGTGTGCGTCCGATGTCCATAAGTAAGAGGATGTCCCGCGCGAAGCGGCCAGAAGCAGGAGCACAGTTTCAATTCATAGCCTCTGAGCTCTCATCCTCAGGGAGGCGCGTATGGTAATACACGTGTATATATCTACCACAACATCAATTCATATCATCATCTATGCGCCACCGTACCTCGAGGCACGAAGAGGAGAGCCATCAGGTCCCTTCGAGATCTCTGCATTGAATAAATCCTCAAAAAGGTGCGCTCGCACAAGAGTGCCCACGTGACTCTTCCACAGGCCAAGAGTGCGTTCCTCGGGGCACGCGTGTGGAAGATGGCCCAGGGCGGTCCCGAGGGCCGTCCTGGAAACCTGCTGGGCGCCTGGGTCGTCTCGAGGGAGATGGCGAGGTCAAACTCGTCAAAATCCATGTGTTTTTCTTACATGGTTTTAGGAGTAACGTTCTTTGGGTCTTCGGATCCTCCAAGGCCACCCGAGAGGCGCCCAACGTCGCCCCAAAAGAACCACGAGCCCCCTAAGAGGGGCCCAAGAGGCCACAAGACATCTCCAAGAGGGGGAACACGAACTGACATGTGAGCCCTTCGCCCCAAGATGGCCTCCAGGTCTCCCAGAGGCCCCCGAGGTGGCCCGAAGAGGCCCCAAGAGGCCCCTGAAGAGGGCCCTACAAAAGGCCCCAAACAAGGCCCCAAGAGGCACCCGAGACGCCCCCAAACAACCCCGAGAAGTCCCCCAATTAACTCGCACAGGCATCCAAGGGGCCTCTGACCGACGGCCCGGGGACGGTGAAGGGACGGGCCGAGGGCAACAAGGTCCGCCGCCCCCCGTGGCCTTGCCACAGGAGTGCACGGCGTGCCAAATGCCTGGCTGGTTTGGTGGTCCTCCCCGTGGGGTCTCGACCCAGCCCGTGGGCCACCCGGAGAGCTGCACGACGCCGCCGAAAAGCCCAACCCCGTTGGCTCTATCACCTCCAAGACGGCCACGATGGCCTTCGAGATGCCTCCAAAAGGGCCAAGATGTCCCCAAGAGTCCAGAATAGCCCCAAGATGGCCTCCAAGACGGTCCCAAGATGCCTTTACGATGGTCCAAGGGAGCCCAAGACGTCCCAAGAAGCGCTCAAGAAGCCCCTAAGACGGCCCAAGAAGCCTCCAAGAGGTCCTCCAGGAAGGCCCGAAGAGGCCAGAATCATTGATGTTTCTCGGGTGTGCGAAAATCGTGGCGCTTGCTGCAAGACGACTTCCCAAGACTCGAGGCCTCCAAGATGGCCCCAGAACGGCCCAAGAGGCTCCCAAGACAACCCCCAAATGGCCCCGAGACGGCCCACGAGGCCTGCAAGACGCCCAAGATGGCCATCAGGACGACCCCGAAGCGCCCCAAGAGGGCCCCCCAAAGACGGTCCAGAGAGGCTCCCACAAGCGACGGTGATTCACCGCAGGCGTGCTCGGTCCTCCGCCCCCCGTGTGGTCTTGCATTATTCGCGATGGCGCCCGTCACCGGCGGCGTCCCCCCCTCCCCCCCCAGTAACGTCACGATTCGCGCCGGCGGCGTCTGGGAATGCTTTGAAAAAGTGCCATGCTGCTAGGGCTAACATACAAATAGGAAACGCAGTGGTATGCAGGTGCGCTACTACTACTACTACTACGACGACGACGACGACGACTACTACTATTGCTACTACTACTACTACTACTACTACTACTACTACTACTACTACGACTACGACTACTACTACTACTACGACCACTGCTACGACAACGACTACTACTACTACTACTACTACTACTACTGCTACTACTACGAGTACGACTACAAACACACGACGACGACGACGACGACGACGACGACGACGACGACGACGACGACGACGACGACGACGACTACTACTACTACTACTACTACGAACTACTAATACTACAAATACTGTACTACTACATCTACTACTACGACGACTACTTCTACTACTACTACTACTACTATTACGACGACCAGTACTACTATTACTACTACTACTACTACTACTACTACTACGAATACGAATGCGAATACGAATACGAATACGAATACGAATACGACTACAACACACACAACGACGACGACGACTACTACTATTACTACGAACTGGTAATATTACTACTACTGTTACTACTACTACTACTAGTACTACTACTCCTACTTCTACTGTACTACTACATATACGACTACGACGACTATCTCTACTACTACTATTACTACGACCAGTACAACAACTAGTACTACTACTACTACTACTACTACTACTACTCCTACTTTACTACTACTACTACTACTACTACTACTACTACTACTACTACTACTACTACTACTACTACTACTACTACTACCTACTTCTACGACTACTACTACTACTACTACTACTACTACTACTACTACGACTACTACTACGACTACTACGACTACAACTACAACTACAGCAACTACTACTACTACTGCTACTACTACTACTACTACTACTACTACTACTATTACTACTACTGCTCGTAAAACTGATAGAACTACTACTACTACTACGACTACGACTACGACTACTACTACTACTACTACGACTACTACTACTACTACTACTACTACTACTACTACTACTACTACTACTACTACTACTACTACTTCTACTTCTAGTACTACTACGTCTCCTACTACTACTGCTGCTACTACTACTACGACTACTACTAGTACGAGTACTAGTACTACTACTACTACTACTACTACTACTACTACTACTACTACTATTACTACTACTACTACTACGATTACTACTACTACTACTACTACTACTACTACTACTACTACTACCACTACCCCTACTACTACTACTACCACTACTTCTACTTCTGCTTGTACTACCGTTACTGCTACTACTACTACTGCTGCTGAGAATGCCACTGCTACTTCTACTGACCTGTTACTACGACTACTACTGCTGCTACTGCTACTGCTACTGCTACTGATACTGCTACTCTTACTACTACTACCACCACCACCACTACTACTACTACTACTACTACCACTACTACTACTACTACCACCACCACTACTACTACTACTACTATACTACTACCACTACTACTACTACTACTACTACTACTACTACTACTACTACTACTACTACTACTACTACTACTACTACTACTACTACTACTACTACTACTACTACTACTACTACTACTACTACTACTACTACTACTACTACTACTACTACTACTACTACTACTACTACTACTACTACTACTACTACTACTACTACTACTACTACTACTACTACTACTACTACTACTACTACTACTACTACTACTACTACTACTACTACTACTACTACTACTACTACTACTACTACTACTACTACTACTACTACTCGCTCGGTTCACGCGCAAAACAAAAATGAGCAGATCATTTACCAAAACAGAAGAATACATACCATAATGCTGTCTCTTGTGA